TAATCCAGTGTCATGTCCAAATGTGTTGCTAATTTAGAGTTGTGATCCCTCATTCGAGCATGTGCTTAAGTACCAGGCTGTCTCTTAGAAATCAGGCCTCAGTGGACTGAGCTATTGGGTGAGTCATTTATAAAAGCTAAACAGGTGCTTTAATGTGCAGCTGTGCAATGAAATGTCTGCTTCAGGATGTGCAGTTGGAGATCAAATTTTTCCCAAAAGCTCCTGATGCCACTGCTGGGAACCAAGACATTGTTTTACAAGAGCTGCCTGTGTTGTGCATCACCAAAAATGGTGATGATCTTCTACAATAATATATTGAGTACTGAGTAAAAAATACTGAGTAAAATGTATATAACCCCAGTTATATAACACCAGTTCAATTGCTCTTCTCTGGACATGCTCCACTCCAGCACCAGAATATCCTTCTTGCAGTGAGGGGCCCAGAACTGACCACAGGATTTGAGGTGTGGCCTCGCCAGTGCTGAGTATAGGGGAGCGATCATTTCCCTAGTCCTGCTGGCCACGCTTTTGCCGACTGCAGCCGGAAAGCCATTTTCTCGTTGTGACAGGAGAAGAAACAAGGACAGCTGAGAGGGCCCCGCCGAACCTGGCCAAGCCACTCGGGAGGCTCCGCGGTGCCAGGCGGAGGGTCCCGGGACACAATAAGCCCCTCTTCGAGGAGGGGATTCTGGTGGGAGGCCGCCGCTGCCCTCCCCGGATCTCAACCCCCCCACTTCCAAGCTTTCCCGAGGTGACTCCTGCCCTCTGGCGGCAGAGAGACCGCCAGCCCCGGCCCCACCCCGCCGCCCCCGGACACCTGCGGCGCTTGTAAAAAGTGTCATGGGAGTAGAAATTTCAGGTCTCAAGGAGAGTTTCAGATTTGACACCCGGACTCAGAAAGGTGTGAAAAACCATTTCCAGCTTTGTATTTGATATTGCACGAAGACGATATTTTTACAAGTCACATCTCTTGATTTATCAGATGTCAGAATAGATACAAGCATGCTCTCTGCAAGAATTAGTGAGTCTTTCCCATTCTTCTGAATAAACAGAAGTTTATCTTAAATGAAAACAAAGTAAAAAACAGTGAAACCCTCCATCTCCTCGTAAATAAGTATACACTGTACCTTGGGTTTTCTTGTAGGTTCAAAAAGAAGTAATAGCAACTCTAGGAAATAATGTTTGTAAGCTGCACCAAGCCCACATTCCTGCAGGAATAGTTCCAGTGTTAGCCAGGCAATTGCTAGCACTTTTTAACATCACACATGAAGATGGTCAACATTGGAAAAAGACTTATGGACAAACCCCAAATCACTATGGATATCAAGGATGACACAGTTCTTTATTTAATGTTTTCCTTTTTTATATTTTGGAAATGCAAATGAGAGGATGAGGTAAAGGAGGAAAAGTTACAGCAACCAGTCCATAGACCTTAGTTGTCTGAAGACCCTAGATATTGTGTGGGCTTGATCTAAGTGAGCCTGAGGCCCCTAGAGAGTTCTGAGGTAAAATCCCTGCTACCTGGGATTCTGCCATTTCCTTTAATAGAAACAGAATTTCACCCAGTGCAACTCCAGGACAGTAGAGAGTCCATTGTAAAACCTAAGTGTAGAAAACTGAAGTTAGTTAGCCCACGTGCAGCCTTAAGACTGTCTGTATGGCAACCATAGGCACTGTGTACACAGAATGAGGACTGTTTACTATCCTTTTATTTCTAAGATTTTAGGTCATCTTAGGCTGATGGAGTCACACAAGGTGTCTCTTGCTGGAATGAGAAAGGGTTAGTCACACCTCTGCAGGCCAAACTGTTGCCCTAGTATTTTCACAAGGCTCTCGAAGCAGGCTCAACAGCACATCAATTGCAGAGAGCCAGCTTATTTCATCTATGCCAGCTCCAGATGAGTCTCTAATGTAAACTGAGTTCAACCAAGGGCTACTGACAAAAGCTTGTCAGAAAAATTTCTTTCTTATAAATTCAGATAATGGCAGCTTTTGAGCACGCACGAGGAAATTGAAGTTTGATCTGGAAATACTGATGGAGTGGTTGTTGCAGGTTACACTAAGTACATCCCATCCCTATCCTGTTTTATGGATTGAATGACTATCCTGTTTAGGTGATGCTAATTAGGTATTATGGCTGTGATGCCTGAAGAGAGATTAAGTAGAATTGGGGCACTTGGACATTGAGGAAAGTGAGCATAAGACGCTGCTGAAGGACAACACCCATGAATTACAAAATAATTGGATTTACAACAGGTATTCAGTCTCTGGACGTTGCTTTTTTTCCTAATGGTTTAGCTGAGAGGTAAAAAGGTCAGAAAATATAGTGGGATAAAACCCCAGCCCTGAGGTGACTCCCTGCTGCAAGGCACAGAGATGCCTTTGGCTCTGTGCTACCCACCATGTGTCCCCCTTCTGCCCCTCCTCCCCAAAATGAACTCTTGGCAACCAGCCTGCAAATTCCCACTGGCACATTTCAAAGCCTGTGAGAGCCCATCCATACCCGTCTGGGCTGGAACTGATCTCTGACCTTCACTCAGGGCTACTTGGATTTCTCCGATAGCTGGGTGAATGATTGCCAGCAGTGGTAAATTATTTACTCCACATAAAGCACCATCTACCAGAGAGGCATATCCCTCATTACACTACAGAGAAAAATATTTCTATAGATCCACAAAGATTATGAAATTATTTTATTATTCACATAATAAAATAAATGAAGGTAAGGGTAGTGATGATGAAAGAAGGTTATGATTCTTTTTTCCCGTGGTTAAAGAAAAAATTGGGGAAAGTGTCTAGATTTTCATAGCTACAGAACGACACATAGCTGTGTTCATGGCTGAAGATATTGTACATTTGGCAAAGCAGCTTGATCCAGAATGCCCAGATAGGTTCAGGTGGGTTTGGTGTTTACTATAGCAAACCTCCTGTTTGTTTTGTTATGTATTAGGGCATCTTTTCCTCATGATCATAGCACTACATTTTTTCATGTGTGTATCATTGCAGCCCCACAGAGCTGACTCCTACCATCTGGTCTCTGTGAAGATGTGGGTTATACAGCCCAGAGGTGAGAAAAACTACATATGTTACTGGAGCTGCCTATTTTGCTGCATGAGGCACTGGGTTATTAGTTTGCTAGATTTCCTCTTTACTAAATCCAAGTATCACTGGGACTGAAGGCAGATAACTTCATTGACTGTGTCGTAGACCCCCAGTCATACATAGTGAAATGTTTGGTATATTATCTTTTAACTTCAGCTAGATTTCCTAGTTGTTTAAAAGCCAAGTATTTAAAAAGAAAGGAAAAGATGGCATTTCTCTCTTCATGGAGTCACTGGGAGAAGCAGAATAGGCCATGCAAGCCACTAATGCCAGAAGTGGGCTTGGACACTCATCTCAGAGCTTGACATTATGCTACTGAAACATCTGGGCATTGAGGCACTCTGGGTGCAGGCACAGCCTTGGGAAACCAAGTCATGCAATTACCAAAAATGGGAGCCAGCTCTATGCTCCTGTCTGAACTGGGGGAACTCCCTAACTTTTGACTTTGTAATGAAGAGAGCACTTTCCAGAGTGGTGCATTCCTTCTCTACTTCTCGCAAAATGGATGAAATTTAACCCCACTTCTTACGACAGCTCACACTTTTTGTGCTAAAGAAAGTACTTTCTGCATCTCCTGCTGAGGTGACTTGAGTGCTGATAGTGAGACTGCTGGAAAATCACTGCTCAGCACGGTGCAAATGAAGTTCTGCTGTAGTGACAAAGAGATGATTATGGTGCCCAGTTCTCCCATTACTTCTCTATGAAAAAACTGTGTGCTGATGACTGAGACTTGCAAGTAGTTCTGGCAAAATTTATATAGAGCTCTATTTTATTACGAATTTGGAATGAAATCTGAAGAATGGGAATGAGCATAAGGATGTTGGGAGGGCTGGTCAAACACCACATATTTTAAGGTAACCTGTCTGAGATTTTTGCAACTTGTCTATAGTGATATCATACCATTGTTCTGATTTTTAGCATCACAATCTATTCCCTGATATTTGCCAGTAATTAGTACTCAAATGAGGTTGACTATCCTTCCTTGCAGGACACCTCCCCTAAATACCTTTTGAGGAACTGACAAATTTGATTGACAGTTTGATCATATGTGACATAGCGGTGACAAAATCCCAGTTGATGCAGTCCAATAAAGACTCATCCTCCATGAAACCCACAGATCTTATTGTAGAGAAGCACTTCTCTCATAACCAAAATTTTGGGTGTTCATTCATGCCATGTGATGGGGAAGCCTTCATTTTGGTCATCTTGCATCTGGGGGTGCATTTCCAGATATGGAATGAGAAAAGGTCAGGGTGCATGGGTCCTGAGTACCACTGCTGGGCTGTGCCCATGAAAGCTGGAGCACAATTGCAATCGAACATTGATTAGATGATCATTAGGAAATGTGCATTTGTTTAATGCTGAGCCTGATGTGAGGCAAGTGATAGTTTCCTTGTTAGTAGTCACATTCCCATCCTCATATGACATCTGCCTTTAAGGTGTTTTTTCAACTGCACAGGAACTTACTACAAGCTTTTTGTGCCTCAAGTGGTTACCACCATCGGTATTATCAATGTTGAGTAATGCTGGTCGGTCCATCCAGTGAACAGAGAGGAGGAGGATGAGCTCCAGTCCCTGGGAGGACGGCAGGGTTCGTGGAACCCCGAGAACGGAAAGTTTTTTCGCTGTGGTTGCACTTTGCGGTGGCGGGGCCACGACGGAGGAGCGGATGCGGGTGCGGAAGGGTGGCAGACAGCAAGAGGATAAGTGCAAGGGTGAGCCCAGGCGGGGCGAGCCAAGGGCCAGGGATTCTCGGGGCTGGAGTGGAGCCGGAGCCGAGCGGGAGCGGGCTCGCCCCGCGTTCCCTCCCCTTCCCTCCGCTCCTCTCCGCCGGCCCCACCGGTGGGGCCCGCCAGCGGCGGTAGGCTTAGTCAGAGGAATGTGGGTGGGACTCCCTCCTCCCCTGCGCCTTAAAACCCCGCTCGGACCGGGGCGCCTGCAGTCTCCCGTCCCAGCGGAGCGTCCCCGCCGCACCCCACCCGCGACGCTCGCTGAGCGCCCCGCCGGCCGCGCAGGATGGTGGTGTGCGGCCTCGCCTGCTGGAGGTGCAGGTGGCTCCTGCCACTGCTGCTGGGCCTGGCCATCATCATGGGCATCATCGCCCTGGCGGGCCGGGGGTGGCTGGAGTCCGAGTCGGAGCCCTACGTGCAGCAAGCGTCGCTGTGGGAGAGCTGCACGCGGGGCGAGGAGGACCTCAACTGGAACTGCGAATCCCTCATGGACTACGGTGAGTGAGAAGCCCTCCGAGGGACCCGGGACAGTGGGTGCCATGGCCATGGACCCTTCCTGCCTCTGTTGTGGAGCAGTTGCTTTCCGGGATGAAGTTTCCTTCGCAGAACCAGTACTCGTGCTGTTTTGGGGCTTAAACCAGCAAAGAAACACGGGTCTAGACTGCTTCAGAGTGATCTTTTTTATCAGTACAACACTGAGAAACCGGGGTGTTGATATTTTAGGTTTTTCTAAAGTTATTTTACAGCCAAAGTAAGACAGCCAACTGGTTACAAGTTCATCAATTTGCTTAGCCTCAACTCTCCGCAGGCTGCAGTCCCAGCAGCCTTACCTGGCACCAGTGAACTCCCCCGCCCTGTGCCGGTGGCCTCCCTGGTCAGACGGGAGGCCACCGGCATCGCTCCCTGACAAACCTTTGCGGGAGGTGTCCTATGCGGAACCACACCTGGACAGTAGTAAAATGGGCTTTCCTCGACTCTTTCGAGGGAGAGAGCACCTGAATTTAACCCTGCCTGGCCAAGACAGTGCAGCTATTAAAATACCTCCTGACCTGCAGCTTAAAATGGCCTGATGTGGGTTTGCAGGCAGGAAAAAAAAATGCTCTTTCCTTTGTATACCTCTCTGTTGCACTGGGGCCTAAATCAGGGATAATTGCGCCTCTGTTTTAACTTGCTGAGCTGCTTCTGTATCTGGCATCAACAACATAATATTCTTATTGCACACTCTCAGTTTCTGGGTCTTTTGGGGGACTTCTTGTTTTATTGCTAGAACACATGGGTCTGATTACATCTGCTTTTCCCTAAACCAAAATATTTCTGGACAAATAAGCAGACCCGCCTTAAGATCCTGGATGAGGGTTCTTTAGGGACTGAGAAGCTGGAAGGGTGTGTTTCAGCTGGGAGAGCTGGGACTGCTTCCCTGCGCAGATCCCTTGCTGCCCGAGCAAGGCAGACTGACTTCCAGAAGCTTTTAATTGCAACATTTGCGCTTGAAAGCTAAATCCTGAATATACTGTAAGAGAAGTGGCTTTGTTTCTTGGCCAGGTGATGACTTCAGGCCTCACCTAGGTGGAAGAAATCTGGATAGTGAGAAAAATATGTCCATCTCCCCCATTAGACAGAGAAGAAAATGTGATAGAGTTGCTGAAATTTGCATTGCAAAAGGAAAAAGTGCTAACACAGAACAGCTGCTGAAATCTGTTTTCTCCTGTAGTGACACTGCTTGTCACTTCCCTGAGTACTGATGGGTGTGTGCTTTGCGTCAGCCTTCAGTGTTGTGGGGCAAAAGTAATGTTCTGCTGTTTTTTCTAGTTAACAAGCTGACAGAGAAGAATAGTATCCTGGACTTGGCTTATTTAAGCTCTAGCTTATTTAACCCAAAACTTACTTAAATCCTTGGCTCATTTATACCAATTTGCCTCTTTTAAATTTTCATAACATCAGTACCACTGTCTACTAAAACAGTATTTACATCTAGAGACAGGATGTAACACATGAGTTCAGGTTTGATTTATTTTGTTTCCTTTTTTTCCTATGCTAATGCAATTAGTCGCAAAATAGGTGAGGGCATTTACAAAGGAAAAAATGCCTAGCAGGCATTTACAGCACTGCTGAAGGAAAATTAAACTTAACTAATTGAGATGCATAACTTGTGTTTTGCATACAGTAACTGCTAAGCACTAAACATCCTCCACCTCTCTTGATGAAATGGAGACTTCAGAGTGGATCTCCATTAACAGAAAGTTCTATTAGACAACTTCTTAATTGAGCTGTGGCATGTGTACTAAGAAAAGGAAGAGAAAAAGCAGCTGAGTTGCTTATTTTAAATGAGGGGAAAGGGGCGAGAACAGACAAATAAAGATTTGCAAATAAGAGTGTCTCATAAACTGCATTGCTTCTTAATAGACATTTGTAAATGCCACATGAGAGGGAAGAAGTGAAAGGGAAAAAGAAGAGTAGGATGTCATTTGGTAGGGAGGCAGGGAAGGGATTTTGTTTAGAGTTCTGTACTGGTTTGCGTCTGGGAAGTACTCTGGCTGGCAGCGTCTGTGTATTATCAAAATGTTGCAGTGCAGAGGTGTTGTACTGCACTAGAATATGACTCAAGATGACTTAATCTAGACCATTGCAGGATTAAACTGTTGGCTTGGTGTTTAAAACATATCAGTAAACCATCAGCTGTGACAAGGATTATTTGCAATGTGTTCCTTGGAGAGGGTGATTGTCTCTATAGTGATGAGGCTGTACGTTTAGGAGCAGTATTTGTGGGTGGCTGTATCCTCCTGGTTCTGAATGGCTGATCCCAGCGACTTTGCTTTGAATTAACGCTATAAAAGTGGGTGTGTATGTGTGCAGTAAAGGTAACCCCATTAGATTAACTCTTTCTTATATTCCTAACAGCCAGTTGGTGTTCATTAAGTACACAACAACCAAGGAAGAAAAAGGGAAACACTCATACCTGGTGCAAAAAAAACCCACAACAACAACAAAAAAAACCCCACCAAACCAAAAACAACAAAAGAACACCAAAACAACAAAGGCAAGGAAAAAAAAAAGGTGGAACCTAGAATTGGGAGCCCAGCCTTTGTGAATCATATTTCACTAGAGGCATGGACTTTGATACCGCAGATTATTGGTGAAGCTGAGTGCATGTGTCGACTTCACTGAGGGGCCAGGTAAATAAAGGAGGAATGTTAGATGTACACTTATCTTTTCAGTACACCTCTTTTCAAGCATGCTTTTGTCTGATTTACGATGCCATGATGTATTCAAGACAAACTAACAACATTTATACTGTCATCCAAGTGCAGGCACCTGGAAAATGCTAATGGGAAAGGTGTAGCAGTTGGTGTCCCTACCTACACCGAGAAAACATTTAGTGCAACTCCCTGGTAAAAGAACCCAGTGAACAGGTGAGGCTTGTGACTCTGCCAGTGCGCTTTGCTGGCTCCTGGGCAGGCGCACTTCCACTTCTAACAACCCAGAGACTTTAAAAGTTGGAAACATATAAGATTGTGCCTCTCCTCAGCTCCTGGCAGAGCCAACTGACTTACGCCAAGTTTGTACCAGAGGGGTTGTTTTTAATAATTTGATGTTATAGCATTTGCTTTTCCTGCACTCTGAAAGCCAAAACAGAGTTGTGATTCCCAGTATTAATTTCCAATCAGCTCTCCTAGCAAACCTCTGATCCTGGGCTCTTCTGTCTTGTGGTGGTTATGCACATAGCTTCCCTTCACCAGTCATGCTATCATGGAAGTTTGCGCATTATCTGAGCAAGAAAATGGACTGACAGTGCTCTTTTGCTTGGAGTCCACTAATCCTTTATTACATTAACAAACACAGATATTTTTTGACATTCTATGTAATGGGCTCTCAAGGCCAAACAAGAATTGCTACTGCCATTTATATACAAAAAAATATTAAAGCTACAGTGTAAAAACATGCCCCATCTATACATGTCATGATAAAAACTTCTACCCTAAGATTCCAGTTTTTCACAAGCTAACAAACTAGCTTCTGCTTTTGGAAATAAGTAAATGAAGATGAGAAAATCTTGTTGATTCAAATCCTGTAGAAGTTCATCTCCCTGCTAGACTACTTTCCTAGCCCTTTTATTATTTTCTAAAAGGAAATCTAGATTTAAATCCTTTAGCCTGTAGAGATTCCATCTTCTTCCTGGTGAGGCTGAGGCATGACCAAATGAAATCAGGAAATATACCTAATGCTAAGGCCCTGTTGCTTGCTTGCTTTTAATTTCATCATATTACTGGTGCTCATCATTTACGTTAAGTAATCCTGACCACTCCTAGTTATTTGCATGATAACATTTGCAGCTTAGTTCCTTTCCATAGTAATCATTAGTGTAATGTAGTGCTATGTAATAAAACTCTTAATCTTTCCTAATAATTATAGACCTTCAGCTCCTGAACAGTTGTTTTTTTAATGTTCTTTCAACACCACCTAATTGATAAATACTTTTCTGCTGATTAGATGCAAAGAACTTGATTATTCTTTGAGGCCAAGCCAACCTGGGAACACTAGTATCTCCAACTATTTTTCTGCTTTTCTGCTCTCCTATTCTTCTGCCTTTCATTTTATGCAGCTCCTAATTAGTGTGATGTTATTGGTGGATTTCATAAACAGACATCATATTTCTGTCTACAATACTCTCTCTGCCAAATGAATGGAACTGAAAATTTTATATTTTTATGGAAAACTTAAATCCTGGCTAAATATCTTCTGATTACAAAGTACCTCTGAGCACAAACCAGCTAGAAACTGGGGCTGATCTGTCCTTCTCTGAGCGTGAGCAGATCTCTCCAGCTCTTAAGGCAGAAAATGGTGAGAGGGTAAACTTGCACTCCTTCCTCCCGGGAGCTGTAGGGGGAAGATCTTTCAGACAGACAGGAGAACTGGGTGCCTGTGGGGACTCAACCAGCTCTCCGAAGTCTTTAGAAGGACAAGGAGCTGGGAAAGCCTGACTTGATAGGTATGGGGATGAGGGGAATTCTGCATGCAGAAACAGCAATTTCAGTCCGAGCCCTGCAGCAGCCCCTCTGCTGAAGCCTCTCCATGTTAGTGGGGGTAGCAACAGTTCTTGCGGATAAGAAACATGCCAGGGCTGCACCCTGTGCTCAGGAAAGATGCAGGCTCCCATCCCAATCTCTCTTGTCAGTCACTTATTAGAAGACTTACAGTTAATTTTTGAGATTTTTCTTACGTTGTGTGTATATATAAGTCTAGAGCCTTTTTCTGCTCTTTTTCTGATTCTCACAGGGGATCAAACGGCAGGCTGGTTGTTCACTGGCTGACTACTGCACTAGTCCAGCCCAGAGCACCCGCATCGAGTGCTGTGGCTAGCACATATGTCTCAGTCTTACCAGGTCTTGTCAGTATCAACTTGCTGTTAACTGCTGTTGGAAAAGATAATCCAGCAGGAGAAAGAGAGGAACTTATGGGATCACCAGCACCGAGCTCTGTCACACATGAGCACAAAACTTGCTGAATTTCGTAATGATGGTGCCTACTGTTGCCCTGTTTCTGAAGACCTGAAACAAAGCTGAGCTTGATATTAATCTTCCTGACAAGGTATCTCCCGCAGCCATATGTGTTGTCATTTTCAGATTGCCAGAGAGAAGAAAATAAATCATTTTGAGCAGAGCTGAGGCTGACCTGTATCCAAAAGCTTGTTATGCTTGTAAAGTAAGCACAGATGACACAAAAATGGCAGAGAGAGCACTGGGGGCATTCTGGCTTGTACTCCTCTAGTTGTGTTTTTGTTGCACCAAACCTCAAGGTGTCTAACCTGTGGGTGTATTTGAGTTTGCAGCCTAAGTTTTATCAAACAGATGCCAGAGTTGTCTTCCTATATCTTGTCAGCATATATAATGCATCTGAAAGGGAATGTGCTATGATAACTAAGTGTTCTACTTGTGCTTTTTTTCTTAATATGGTAAATATTGATAAGTAGCTTTCCAAGACCATTTAGTCTGAATCGGTTTTCCTGGGCCGGCCGTGTGTAATGGTTACATATCTCTTTACATGAGTTATCACTGAAGAAATCCTATTGTGGAGACAATATTCAATGCCTCTGTTAGGTATATATGAGAATATTTTGTATGAAAAGATTTTATCAGACTGCTGACATAGTTGTAATCTCCAGACACTCATCAGGTGTCCTCCCTCCCTCCCTCTCCCTCCTTCCTTCCCCCTCAGCATTCCCTTAGGCAAAGGGTATGAAACATGCACAGCTAGCTGAAGGAGAACCAATTTGAAAAGTTTTTGCTGTCTTGAGTAGCTCCAAGAAGGGAGAGGGAAGAGAAAACCCTTTTCCTTATCTTTTCTATGTCAGCTTTATTGTGTTCAGGTGGTAGTGGTGGTGGTTGGGAGTTTTGGGCAGAGATTCAGCTGACAGATACCTGCTGTATTTAACTTTTGCTGCTGGAATAGAGGGGAAGGAAACCAGTTCAAACTGATCTAATTAAAATAGCTGTAAAACAATGCTTTGCTTTCAGATGGCAAATTGATGTATGTAGTGGAAGTGTCTGAGATAGTTTTACTGCATTCTGTCGCAAATTACTATTTCTCCCTATTTGTGCAACTAATACAGTACATGAGTTAAGGTGGGGGATTATAATTCTTTAGGAAAAATTTATTTTACCTCCTTCTTCTGCTTACTTTTTGCACAGAAAGAATGGAAGCCACAATGAAAGCAAGATATCTCCAAAGTCACTTCAACTGTGTTGGAATGGACAGCTCTAAAGAAAGAGATTTTTTTAAAATGTTCTGACCTAGATCTCACTGCCATCTTTATTCCTACATTAGAGGGAGCTCAGGATCTGGCCCTACCTCTGTCTGTGTGAAAGCAGAAACCCACATTATGTAGATGTGGGAATTGAATTGTGATGACAGCTGACTGGAAAACAAAGCACTAGCCAGTATAGTTTAGCCCTTGTGGGCAGGTATCCTGCCTCCAGGGCAGGAACACCTTTGCTTATAGTTGTTTGCACTGGGTTCACCTCAATTACTTGGTTTCTGAAGTGGACAGGGTCTGTGAGGTCCTCTTTGCAAGTCTGTGTTACTTCAAAAGTGGAACTGCTGGCTGTTTTTCTAGGAGGTTTTCTTACCATTGTTGCCTTGGCCCTGGCCTATGGTGTGTGAGTTCTGGGTGCTAGTGCTGCTCTGCTGGAATATGGCCACTTGCTTCATGCCTGAGCCTCTCCAGCATGCAGTAGCTTGATCCTAAGAATCTCCACCAACCTGTTCCATCAGTAATGTTTCATCAAGTAATGATTCAAAGAAGACTCTTCAACTTTCAACTCAGATTTGGCTGTTTCTCTTCCACCTGCTATGTTTTAGCTGTGAATAGATATTTATCTTCAAGACCTTTCTTTTTGTCATCTTTTTCAGCTACTCCAAATTTATTTCTTTTTGGTCTTGCTAATTTTGCCACAGGTGCACTATTCTTGTCATAAAAAAACAGGAAGAAATTGTATGCTGACAGCACTGTTATTTCCCAGAAGTTATTGACTGTGGTGGTACCCTCTTGTCTGCTTTCACACTTCCCTGTGCATGCAAGTGGTTTTGTAAACTTGCATATCGAACAGGAGCTGTAACAATAAAGTGCATTGTCAGCAGCTGTGTGCCCTATCTGCTCTGCTGTGCCCTATCTGTGAGTCTTACAGATACAGAGTTTGATGGTGCTATCTCTATTATGTGGTGCACTATATCCCTCTTTTCAGCAAGATAAGTTAGTGGACAGGGAGTTCTGTGCTGCTCCAGCAATGATGATGCCTCTCTGCTCTGCAGCTGTGTGATTTGGAGGCATTCAGTATTGCTTTGAAATAAGGACATGCTTCTTACAGTAAAAGATTTCAATAAAAAATGATTAAAGAAAACCAAGGAAATGCAATGACCTACAGCAGTGTACTGCTGTGTATAACATCTTTCTTGTTTTCTCTTCAAGGCTGGGGGAGAGCAGCAGCTGCCACATACCTCGTTGGCTTTGTGATTCTGGTCATCTGTTTCGCTCTTGCAGTCATCGCGTTCTCGATCGAGATACTCCGCTTCAACTTTGTGCGAGGAATTGGAGGCTTGCTCTTTGTTGTAGGTAAGGCTGGGCACAAAGACAAGGTTATTTGAGAACAGGCATCAGCAGAAAAACATGCTAGATGGAGCCTCTCTTGTGAAATTAGCTGTCTTTGTCTCATTTATGACTCATTTTCATGGGAAACAAGGAAAGGTTGATTTCAGAGAATAATGGTTAGGGAAGTTATCCAGTGGGTTTTGTCAATTTGCACTTTCCCAAAAGCACTGTACAGGGACAGCCAACACCTTTGACCCGACATACCACATACTAAGACTTAGGAGCTGAGAGCCCTGGGTGCTTCCCACCTTTCTGATGGGAGGAGGAACAACGGGACTATGGGAGGTAACTGGCTCCGCAGGGTTCACTGTGCCTTGCTGTAGGACAGGGCTGGTCATGGCATGCAGATATGTGCCTTAGCAACCTGGCAATGTCAGCTGTAGCTGCTGCAATCAGGTAGGCGTGGGGATCTGCCTTGGCCAGAAGTCACATACCTCTGTAAGAATGCAGATTTGATTGCAGGACTGAAGCTAGTCCTTACATATCTTAAATATGCAGTTATCTCCAGGTATTTTTCTTAGTGGGAACTGTAATACATTTATTGTAATTTACTCCTGCTGTTCTTTTTCTCTCACTCTAGCTGCATTCCAGATCATTGGCTTGGTCATTTACCCAGTGAAATTCACGGAAGATATTCTACTGACAGGAGATAATATGTTCAGCTGGGCCTATGGCTTTGGTTGGGCCAGCACTGTCGTCGTTATAGGTTGTGCTTTCTTCTTCTGCTGCCTCCCCAACTGGGAAGATGAAGTCCTGGGAAACATCAAGCCTACCTATTACTACTCCTCCCCAGAGAGAGCACCATACTTAAATTGAAAGATTAAGTCCGAGTACAGTCAACTGTCAAAACAACAGAGGAGTACCTATGATGTACATCCGATGTGATTGTAGGAGACTGGAAAAAACCACCTTATTTCACCAGACTATTTTTTACTATCCCTGGCAATAAATTAGGAAAAACACTGGCATCTTTAAGCAAATAACTTTTACCTAAAGTATTCAGTTATGTATTCTCATGTCAATTCTGTTTGGGTGGTTTACTTGCTCCTTCCCTTCCCAACTAATTATTCAAACATTTGCTTATGAATAAAGAGGATTGTGTTTCAAGTGTAGAAAGGAAGAGGATAGATTTTAAACAACCCATTAGGGGGTCCTGCAAGATATTTTTTTTCATCTCTGACAAAATTACATTAAACGGACCTAGAAAAAAAGCAGCCTTCCAAAGAATGTTTTTCTTCCATCAAAGTCAGTCCCAAGGAAGGAACTTCCCTGAGACTGTCATGGTCACCTGTCACCTAAAAATCTTTTCTTGTTTCTGTTACTGTACTGTTACTGATTAAAAGCTATTTGAATTAAGGGGAAAATTAAATTAAAATTTATTTTCCACCAATTGATGCTGTTAGACAGAGATCTCCTCTAAAGCATGGAGCTGGTGGGTAACAGTGGCTAATGTAACATTGGTGGGTTTGTGGCCACAGCAGGACTTGTGATGGAGTCACAGATATGTGTTTAATATATATTGTCATAGAGACAATCAATAAAATTTCAGATGTTAAAACTACGTATATTTTTACATGGTATTTTAGGGATGCTGGTCTAGAAAATATCTTTGAGTAGAAACATAAACTGTTCTACTTGTCTACCTTTTTAAAACTGCAGTGTTTTAATTATCAGTGTACTTTGGAGGGAAATCTTAGCATAAGGTATCTGAAAACCTCCAAACGTTTGTAACACTGTAGGTACCTCAGTTTAGTAAACTTGGGGCTATTGCATGAGTCACTAGGGGTAACAGGCAAAAATAGATAAGCAGTTCTGTGAGCAATTTATGTATGCAAACTTCATACAGACATCTGTGTCGGAGTAATCTGGCTGGCTCCTAGTTTGTGTTTCTGCAGTCAGCAATTCCAAATAAGTATTCTGGCAAAGCAGAGCTGTGTCTGTGTTGGCCATGGACTGCAGCAGCTTACAGCAGATTTAATTATGGTCTATAATCTTTATCAGGGCTTTCTTCATCTGGGGAAGAAGGAAGAAACTTATTTTGTGAGCTTTTCCTCCAGCTTTGGGAGAAGCAGCTCTAGCAAAGACAGACTGAGGGGGGTACAGGTAGGGTGGAAAGCAAAGGTTGTGTATTACTTTGTTACTTCTTGCTCTCATGAACCCAGTACTTAGGGGAGGGTAAGTGTATGGGTATGTGTATTCATGGACATGTACAAAATAGAACTTAAAAAGCATTAACCAACATACTGTAAAGCTAAAGTAATTTACAACTAATATTTTACAATGCCCAGTATTTCTTGTACTATATGTTTTATAGCTTTCCATTTTGTAACACCTTTTTTAACTTGATAATACTATATATTGAATGTGATCCTGTTTTGGAAAAGTCATGTGACTCCTGAAGGTCCCTCCAAGGCCTGTATTTTATAATTTTACAGAGCATAAATGTCTGCAGACTTAAGAATTGTGTTATGAGCTCAGTTCTGGCATATACAATCAAGTGTATTTGTGATTCTTTCTGAACAAGAGAATTCTGTGACAAATGTGTCCCTTTATTTTTTTTTTGTTTTCTGTATACAGTACTGGCTGTTGGGGAATATTGTGTAGACTTACCTGTATCATAAGTAATGATAGTAATTACTTCTATCAAATTCAAAACACAGCAGAGAATCCCAAGTCTGGAAAATTCTTGTACAGCTAAAGCTGAGAAGGAGGTAAAAAAAATGTAAGAAAATGGACACCTTTCCTAATGAGAGGGAGGATGGTATGGTAGTCAGGTTTAGCATAATTTCAGTCTTTTGTATGCTTTCTTATAAGCATCGTTGTAACTTGTCAAAAAAGCACAGATATAAAATAAACTTGGCTCTGAATGTACTGGGAGTGGTAGAAGCACAACCAGCATGTTACACAATTAAGATGTTCCAGAGAAAGCTATTGCAAATAGTCATTAATTACTTTGAAGTGATACTAATGTATATGACACTCCTTTCAAATGTGGTGGCTTAATTAAAAATGTTTTAACTTACAGTTGTAGAAACTTGGTGGTGTTTGTGGTTCATGGGTTAATTTCATAAACTCAAACAAGTAGTCATTCTTACCATCTCTTAACATGAATATCGGTATCCATAAAGTGTCGGGTTAATAAAATGAAGTTAATGACCTCGTGTCCAGGAAGTGGTAGCTTCATTTTCCAGTCAAATAAGCTTAGGTATACAATGCAAAACATGTCTGTGCACTTTCTTTGGAAGTGCCAGGCATAGAATGTTCTTTGCTAAGCCAAAACCTCTTAAGTGCATCACAGCTTAAGGGGAAACTCTAAACATTTTAAGTACACAACAGTCTACAGGAGGAACGGATGTGGGAAGTCTATCCTTTATCAAAACTGTTCCAAGTGCCTTTCCTATACTGATCAAGAACTTTAAATAGTGAGAAAAAGATGGTGTACTGGCCTGCTATTTTCAGCAGAAGGCTGCACTTCTCTTGTGATTAGAAACCTTCCCATTTCTAACCTCAGATTATGTGAGGTCCACATTATAGCCCTGTGCTAGTGTCATTCTGTATCCTGAACAACTCTTTTTTCCTCTGCATTTTTACAGAGAGTGAATCTGTCAGTCACTGCTGTCTTATACCAGCTTATGGCTTCTGATTTCTGGAAAGACAGGCTCATTATTTCCCTGTTTGGTTCTTTTAATCTGTTCTCTTCCGTAAATGTCTTAATTTTTAAGTACAGTTACTACCCTGGATTCTGGTGCCTTGCATGGATTTCTTTTTGGGTTTTGGTTCCATGCCTCCTCCCTCTTAACTAGTCTTAATTTTTACATACACAAATGGGGAAAATATTTTGTTTCCTTTTAGATTTTCCTAAATGCTCTGAAGATAATTGGAGGGCTTCTATAGTGCCCGTCTTTTGACAGGAAGACAATTTGTACTCTTGTTTATCTAAAATTCTGTATTAAGCTGCAGCCTAAATCTGTGCTTGCTAAAATCCCCTGAACAGCTCCAGTGAGCTTCAGGCTGCAGTGTCACTCCTTCTAATCCAACCCTGGAGAAAAGAGAGTAGTTCAGGAGAATATGAGCACACTTTGCCCTTGTATCATGGGGAGTTATGGGCAATCAAAAATGTGCATAACTGAGTGCTAGGGAAAGCTAAATGACCTGAATGGGATGATTAATGCTTAAATCTCATGAATATGGGAAACAGCTGCCACACCCCACTGGGATTTTGTATTTTTAGTTGACGCAACAAGTGACTAATTTTTAGACAATTCATTGTCAAGGAAGAATCCTAAAAGAGTATTCACCTGACCTTTACATCCTGCATACAAGGGCTTTTGGACCTAGAGTACATACATAAATCAAGAGTGTAGTAACAGATCATTAGGAGGAGATGGGTTGTTATGGTGATAAGTACTCTAGAAACAAAAACACCCATATACTAAAAGAAAATACTGTGCACACACACACACAAAGAGTTGTTGAGATCATTGAACACTTACGAATTAATGATGAACTAAGCATATATATCTATGGAAACTGAGATGCTTTAGGAGATGCACGACAGCTGAGAGGGCTGGTCTCACAACTCAGAGCAGTGGAGGTTACTGCCAATGTGGAACAGGCCCCTGAAAAACCAGGTTATTCTGTTCCAGTAGGTGAAGTTGCACAGATTTTTAAATTAACTTGGGAGATGATACTCACAACCAGAATAAAGTTTAATCAAGTCTGGAGGATGTATTTGTCAAAGATAGGGATGCTAAGTTTCTGAATGTGATTACTGTAACAGTTGTCTATACAGGATTAGTGAAATCCATGTGCAATAGTTCACAGAAACCTGGTATATGCTAATGTTACTGCACAGGTGCAGCAGTTTTATGTGTAGATCCCATTGAACAAGAATGTGTCGATTTTCCTGTGTGTATGCAGCGTATTTATAAAATAGGTCCAATGAATCCATGGTGCAGGTCTGCACTGGCACACTAAGCAGCCTTTAGTCTGGGATTTCCTGGTGTCCAAAGGTGTGGGCAAAGCTGCTCCAGTTACAAAATTTGACATCTAGAAATCCCAGGCAAAAATCCAATGGCCTCAAATTTTGCCTCTAGAAACTTATATTTAAGTTACTTGGGAGTTGTCAAAATAATCCAAAGGGGTTTTTTATTATGATTTTTGAATTCATAAATTTAATAAGACTGTATAATAAAGACTTTAGAAGAAAACATGTGGACATGCCTAGAGCTTTACAACGTTACAGCTATAAGCAAGATAAATAATAATGTATGATAAGAACTATTCACTGTGTAATATAATTAATAGAAATAAATAAATATCTAATAAATAGAAATTAATTATATTCCTCATGGGTTCATCTTTGCAGGATTGGATAACACTAGAAGAATTGGTATGACTGCTGCTTTTTATTTATTTATGGGAATGTGGACAACACATACTATTTTTAACAGAGCTTTTTGTTAATGAAGAATATTTTGTAAGCAATTTGAAAATAACTTTTTTCTCTGATTTGGAATAGAAAAACAAAACAACTCTCAAAACAAAACTTGGAAACTCATAATTGCCATTTTGAATCAAGACAATAGGAGAAGTTGAAAATGTTGCCAGGAGACCACCAGTTTCATTTCAGCCTGTTTGTCAAATCAGTTTCACATCAGACATTTAAAACTGAAGAGGTCATTTCCATATAACATATTGGCTTAAGCAAAATCCTACTTTTGGCTGGAGAATTTCAAAGTGAAAATCCTGGCCAAAAATCTTAAAAGATATACTTGGCGTTCATGTCATAACTGTAGGTCTCAGAGTGCTTAAAGAAGTAGCTGCTCCCAACTGACCTATAAGGCACAGCAAATAAAAGCCATTCCTTTGACAGAAAATTGTAAGTAGCAAGGCTGTGGCACCTGGGAATTACCTAAGTAAAGCTAATTTTATTCCTCTTCTAAGGCAACTGAGCTATATGCTTTGCACGGAGTTACTGTTATGATCCACTACAATAGGACAAGTATTAGTCAACCTACCTATGCCACAGAGAAGTTTTGGAGCTCAAAGAAAGTAGGTTAAGTAAAATTCTCTCATATGTAGAAGAGGACTATGTTGTACCGCTGTAACTGCTTACACAGGACTTCATAAAATCCCTGTATGTAATATGCTATGATTCTTTGTGCTCACCAGAGAGCTTGTGATCCTGACAACCACACAAGGAAAATTCAGACACCCACAATGGCTACAAATGTCCAGAGGCCCTCTCAGCTGTTAACTGTGTAGTGGATTTACAGAGCCCCATTTATTTCAGCCATTTGTCTGGAGAAGTTGATGGAATTCATCAAACTTCTACAGAGCATCTGTAAGAAATACCTGTTGATTAAACCTTGTTCCAGTATAGAGCTTATCATGTCCTTTAGCAAAAACTAGCTGACAATTAAATCCATGCTCAGACACACAGAGTCTTTGTACTTTCCTAATCTTGTGTTTTCCTTATTTGTGTTTTCCTAATACAGTCTTGAATTGCTCACATAAATGACAATCCTGGATGCTGCCCTCTTTGCATCTCATGTGTTAAAATTTACTGGTCTGCACATGTAGCCTTGGTAAGGAAAGGAAGAAAGTCCTTTCAAGCCTAAGAGTTTGTCCTGTCGAGGCAAGCCTCCTTTACTAACAAGAGCCAGCCAGTGCTGCACATGGGTCAGGCTTCGGAGGTTCCACAGCAAGTTTGTCCTGGATGACGCTTGATAAAAATCTTAACAAAACCCTGTGGGAATTTGCCTCCGAGCTCAGCAGTCAGTGAATAGAGGAAATATCAAACATCTGCAGAACTTTCCTGTGCTTCGTGGGGCAGATAGAGGAAGGCCTTCCCAAACATATAGCAGCAGGACTGAGCACTGACCACTCCCAGGTCATCATCATAAGAGTCGTGGAGGAGTCACAATGTCTGGCTACCACGGGAGAGTGCCTCAGAAAGGGCTGGTGTGGGGGAAACTACAAGATCTCAGTTGAGTTCATTTTTTAGGAGGATGTTCTTATTTTGCAAAGAAGTAAAATCAAGTCCTATTCAAAATGCATTTTCAGTATCCTTCTAATTAACATAAAGAAATTGCAGTTTGGATTACCCTGTGAACACTTTTGATGTCTAAAGGTATTTTCTACATGTGCTTACTGTGGATGAAATATTAGTCACATTGAGAATGCTATTGCCTTACTGCCCAGGGGATGCAGGGCAGTGACCACAAGGTATAATTTGGCTGACTGAGTTGCATCACTGTTGTAACAATAACTGCAGTGCAGCCCTTTCCGAAGGAAAATGGTAGATTGGCGTTATTAGAAAGAAGGGCTGATAGTTGTAAATGGATTAATAAAGATAACAGTAATAATTAGGAGATTTACAATAGCTCATGACAAATATGTTTCTCAGTTGCCCAGAGTGACTTGTTAGATGTGAGATAACACACAAGAGAACAGATAATAAAATAAACCTAGCAAAGCTTTTAAAATACAGACTCTGGGAATTTGTTTTTTATAAGCAGTGTGAGCAATAGAGAATGAAAATATGCTTGCTGCAAAAGTCATGAACATGCACCACACCTGATCATCTTATGATAATCCAGTAATTTATATAGTTTAGCTGACCAGGTCAGAGACTAAAGGTGAGTGAAAATGTGCTGCCAATCATTTCTAAGCTTCTTCTTCTGCTAAGAAAATCGTTTGTGTCTTGGCTGAAAAAGGCATATTTTTATTTTTAGTGCTAATGCCTCTTAGCTCTAATGATTATTTCAAGTAATAAGAATGAAGAGTCATTAGCAATATTTTTAGTTGCAGAAAGTGCACTACAATCTAACAAACAGTTTTAACACTGATAATATATAATTTTCAACAGATGATGCCGGGAGGGACTATCCACAGATACCTGAGAAGGAGAAAAAGCATTTGCTTTCATGTAAACACCCAGCTTGTACATTGCAAAAGACAAAGCATGGTGAGGGTACATCATCACTTCAAATCACTTAGTTTCCAACCATTTTCCCC